TAAAATAGACGCATGCCTCCTTATTTGCCCCAGTAAATACAGCTAAAGACAGTGTATATTACATATTAAATAAACACAATCAAACCCTGCAAGGTAAAGAGAAGAAAGCAAACCAATGAGAGACCTACGGACCCAAGGAAAAACATGGCAGTGAATTGCCTGGGCTTTCTTTTTTACTTTATATATTACAGACTGGATGCTCACAAATCAACAACCTAGAAACACCAGTGGGCATAGACAAAAGTGTCCTAAGAAAAGCTAGTTCTTTCTAGCCAAAGAACCAGGAAAAGGGAAGCCTAGCAAGACAGAAATCTTTCTTAGACAATAACCTCCTCCTACTCCAGAAAAATACCATGAATACAACTGCAGCTCAACAAAGGCCAAAGATGGGGTGGGGGAGGTAACTAGACTTCTACCTTTGATAGGCTGTAACAAGGGAGTAAGTTGCCTTTCACCATGGTTTCAGTAGAGATCACTGAGGTGCCTGGGTTTCATCCCCTTCCTAGCATCAATGGGGCACACCTCCCCCCAGGATTCTGATCACTTTCCAGGGGTAACTAACCCCTTCCAAGCAAGATATTAGCGGAGGTCACATAGAGAACAAGAAGGAGGTACCCCTCACTATCCCAAGCAGAGTGATCTCAGGAGAGGACTAGCTGGGAACCTAAACTCCCACTCGGCAGTAACAAGGAGCCTTTCTCACCCCCTCCCCGGTATAATCAGAGACTGAATCAGGAACCTAAACTACCCTCACCTGACAGTAAATGAGGGGCATTCCCCTTCTCCCACGAGCATATATCAGAGGCAGCTGGTTAAAACAGAAGATTTAAATGAGATCCAGAGTCTCATAATATCCAAAATGTCCAGGCCACAACTGAAAAATCACTTATCATACTAAGAACCAGAAAGACTTCAACCTAAATGAGAAATCAACAGATATCAACACCAAGATGACATAAATATTGGGATTATCTAACAAGTATTTGAAAGCAGTCATCACAAAAAATGTTTCAATGAGCAATTATGAGTATGTTTGAAACAAATAAAAAAGAAAGTCTCAGTAAACTAATAGAAAGTTGGCTGAGCTCGGTGGCTCAGTCTGTAATACCAGCACTTTGAGAGGCTGAGGCGAGTAAATTGCCTGAGCTGACAGGTTAGAGACCAGCCTCGGCAACTTGGAGAGACCTCATCTCTGTAATAAATCAAAAATTAGCCTGGCGTGGTAGCACGTGCCTGTAGTTCCAACTACTTGGAAGGCTGAGGTGGAAGGATTGCCAGAGCCCAGCAGGTCAACGCTGGGGTAGTGTGAGCGTGCCACCATATTCCAGCCCGGGCGACAGTGAGACTCCAACTCAAAAAAACAAAACAAAACAACTCCCACCAAAGAAATAAAAGATATAAAGAATAAAATGTAAATTTTAGAATTTGAAAATACAGAATAAATTCTTAACAAAGAATGAAGAAGACAGAGGAAAGAATCCATGAACTTGAAGACAGAACGACAGAAATTACCCAATATGAGCAAGAAGAAAAAGGGGAGGGGGGGAGACAGATGGACACAAATGAGAACAGAGCCTCAGGGACTCAGGGACTTGGACTATAACAAAAGATTTAACATTTGTGCCAATGGCATTCCAAAAGGAGAGGAGAAAGCACATAAAATATTAGAAAAAAATAATGGCTGAAAATTCCCCAAATCTGGCAAAAGATATAAATGTACATATTTAAGAAGCTGGGTGAACTCTAAATAGGAGAAATGCAAAGAAATCTACTCCAAAATACATCACAGTCAAACTAAAACACACAGATAACTAAAGTAAAGAAAAAAATCTTGAAAGTAGCCAGAGAAAATGGTACATTACCTACAGGGGAAAACCAACTTGAATGACAATGAATTTCTCATCAGAAACCATGGAGGGCAGAAAGAAGCAGTACATTTTTCAAGTGCAGGAAGAAAAGAACTATTAATGCAGAATTCTATATCCACTGTAAATCTCTTTTGGGAATGAAGAGGAAATCAAGGTATTCTGAGGTGAAGCCAAACTAAGATAACCTATCACCAGTAAACCTACCTTAAAAGAATGGTAAGGAAAAATTCTGTAAACATAATGATAGAAGGAATCTTGAAACATCAGGAAGGAAAAAAGAACATGAAAAGAGCAAAAACATGGGTAAATACAATAGTCTTACATGTTCCTTCTCCTCTGAACTTTTCTAAATTGTGTTAGACATTGGAAGCAAAATTATAACATCATTTGATGTGTTTGTCAGTGTATGAAGAGAATATATTTAAGGTAAAGCATATAATAAATGTGAGAGGGCAAAGGGATTTAAAAGAAGGTAAAGTTTCTACACTTATATTCTAACTGGTAAAATGTCGGCCAGTACATTATGATAAGTTATGTATATGTAATGTATATATAATACCTAAAGCAACCACTAAAAAAGTCTATAGAAAGAGATACACTATGAAGTAGAAAAACGCTATAGATAAATCAAAACAGAGTTCTAAAAAATGTTCAAGTAGGTACAGGAAAAAGAAAAGAGGAAACAAACAAAAAATTTGGCAGGCTGGAGCCTAACATAACAGTTATTACATTAAAAGTAAATGTTAAAAATTCACTAAATAAAATACAAGGATTGGCAAAATTTATTTTTTATAAAAGTGACCTAACTGTATTCTGTATACAAGAAACTACATACAACAACAACTTGGATGAATCTCTGTGAAAAAAGTCAATCTCCAAAGGTCACATACTGTAAGATTCCATTTACATAACATTCTTGAAATGACAAAATTATGGATATGGAAACAGATTAGAGGGGTTTCTTTGCATCCCTGAGGGTTAGGGATGATGGCAGAGAGAGGACAGGTAGCATAAGGGAGATCTTTATAGTGATAGAATAGTTCTATATTTTGACCGTGGTGGTTACACACATCTACACATGCGAAAAAATGATATATCACTATATACATACATTGTATTAATGTAAATTTCCTGGTTTTGATACTGTGCTATAGTCAATGTAAGATGTAACTACTGAGGGAAACTGAGTGAAGGGTACATAGGACCTCTCTATACTATTCTTATAATTTCCTATAAATCTGTAATTATCTCAAAATTAAAAAATTATACAAAAATTAATTTGCCAGAGTTCAAATCCTGGCTCTACCACTTCCTGTGTGAACTTGGGCTTATGTAACCAATCTATGTACCTGTAAAATGAGAATAGTATATATCAAGTAATGACAAGAAAGAAATAATATATTAAAAAGACAATGATATATGCAAAAATAAATGAATCTCAAAAATATTATGCTAAGTGAAAGATGTTTGATGCATAAGACTACATATTGTATGATTCTGTTCAAATGACATTTTGGAAAAGACAAAAACTATAGGGATATAAATCAGATGATTATTGTCTGAGGCTGAGTATAGGAAGACAAAATTGAACCACATCTCAGTGAATAATGCCTTTTATTATAGATTTATTTGACTTTTGAAATCATGCTAACATTCTACATATTCAAAATAAAACTAAACCAACAAGGACAGAGGAAAAAACCTCTTAAACTGAATGAATGAAAACCAACCAAACCAACCTAACTAATTATATTTCAAATGACTATTATAATTAAACCCAAGCAGAGGGGGAACAGTGGAAGGCTTAATCCAAGTAATTTGATTATATACTCTCAGTCTAGGGGGAAAGAAATAGCAAACACATTTTGAACTGTTTTCAGTAAGTAAATTCAAATTGAGTTAAAAAAAAAAAAAAAAAGAACTGGCCCATATTCTTCAAAAATGTTAATACAATGAAAGATAAAGAAAAGCTAAAAACTGTTCCAGGTTAAAGTAGATTAAAGACACGTGTCAACTAAACATAATACATAATCTCTGACTGGATCATTTTTTGGAAGAAAAAAATGTTTTAAAGAATATCACTGGGACAAGTGACAGAAATACGATATAATAACTGTAGATTAAAGTATTTGAATATAACTATAGGTTAGAAAAAAGTAGTATAACAAAGTTAAACTTCCTGAATTTGGTAACTATACTGGAATTAATGAAGAGACTGTCCTTATTCCTAAGAAAATACATGCTGCTATGCTAAGAGACAAAAGTTCATTATATAAGTAACTTTTTTTCAAAGAGCTCAGAAAAAATTAACTAATGAAAATTATATATGGTATTAGGTAGATATATTTATAGAGAGAGATAATGGCTCAAAGGTGCTGGGGTTTTCACAACTGTTGAGGAGAATAAATTCTAGTCTGGTACAGCAATAGCAGAGTCACAACTACTCTACTCCCTGGCCCTAAGATCTGTGGGTATGATAGAAAAACACAGCCTCTGATTGACAAGGCTGTGAAAGTAACTCAGTAACCCCAAGGATATTCAGACATCAATTAAGGCAAAGAAGTGAAGGCTATCTGGTAGTTTTGAAAACACAGAGGAAGGGCTTGGAAGGAAAGAGTAGGGGACTGGTCTAGCACAGGAGATTTCTAAAACAATCAGAAGATTAATGTCTGGATGATAAAAAAATGACCTGAAGGCGAAAGAGGTAAAAAAGAATTCAAAGTAGCTAGAAATCAATACTGGGAATCTTGGGTGGACCTTTAATTCTAGCCACAAGGTCACTAAAGCTTTGCTCTCTGGATAAGAATGTCTACAGGATCTCCTCTAGGAAGCCCTTCCATTGAGAGGTGGTTGAACATATGTTATCTGCGATCCTATAATACCCTAATGCCTATATATACATTTAACCCACATTCAATAAATATTAGTTGGACGAATTAATGACTCACTATAACCTGAGAAGAGGTGATATGAGAAAAATAAATTGAAAATCAACTTACGAAAGGAATGGCATAGCAGAGTTCCACTTTTAAAAACTTTTTTAAAAACATATTTAAAAGGAGTTAGTTTAAGACTCAAAGAGTGCAAAATGAAGAATTATTTCTATTTTATTTTGGTAAAAAATATGCTTACTGTACAACAAGTTGCTGGCACACAGTTCCATTCTCTGTTATCAGTTCATTCAGTTTTAATTCGAGGTGAACTTTACCCTATAACGACAAAAATAAAATTATAAACTGAGTAGCCTATTTTAGTGACAAAATATTAAAGGTATATACTTTTCCAAATAGCATTTACAAGATTTATCCACTAACCCCTAGCACATGGCTATACCTACACTAAGTACTTGTGAGATGACTAATAACCAAAAACATAGATCAAAGTTCTCCAAGATAAGAAACATTTGAGCCGGCTCGGTGGCTCAGCCTATAATCCCACACCTTTGGGAGGCTGAGGCGAGTAGATTGCCTGAGCCCGCGGGTTCGAGACCCGCCTGGGCAGCGAGACCTCATCTCTACAATAAATCCAAAAAATCGGCCAGGCATGGTAGCACATGCCTGTAATTCTGGCCACTTGGAAGGCTGAGGCGGAAGGATCGCCGGAGCCCAGCAGGTCGAGGCTGCGGTGGCCGGGAACGGCCACTGAACTCCAGTCTGGGCGACAGAGTGAGATTCCAACTCAAAAAATAAAAAAATAAAAAAATTTGAATGCTTATATCATAGTATTCAAATTTAAGAATTTTATGCTCAATAAATATCTATGTATTTCAACTATTATAGATTAAAACAATAGCATTTATGCTGTAAGATATTTTGAAATAAAATCGCATTATGAAATGTAGTGTGCTTTTTCCAGAAAACATAAACCAGCAATAAGGACAGAGCAATATCATTAAAAGAAAAATTATACAATTTTAAAACAGTAAAACTAAACCTAAGTTAAAGCTAATGAGACTCAATTTGCTAATACTTACCTTTAACAAACAATAAAGACTTATGGTCTACCTACCATGTTTTAGGAGCACTGTGGGAGTGGAAATCTACAGATGCCTAAAACACAGTCACTGTTTATAAGAAGTTTACAGCCTAGTAGGGAAGACAATAAACAAAAGATTGATGGAAAGATGAGATACTGAAAGAGGAGTGTTTTCTTAAAGAGTCATTAATGGATGAATTTTTAAAAAGTCAGTAGTATAAGTTTAAAGAAATTCAAATTATCAACTTCTCAAGAAACAAAGGCTAGGAACAATATAATCAAGGCTTGATATTTCCACCCTGCCACTGGTGATCTGAGCAATTCTAAACTGGTTAAGAATCAGTACTGATTACCTCCACTCAGCTGACAAAACAAATTCCCAGGGAGTCAAGTAGAGATTTCAGGGGTGTGATGTCTAAGGGCTGAAGATGTGCATGATTTCATCAGAGGTAGGACAGTTCATTACCTAGTCACTGTTTCTTCTTGAAGCAATCCCTTTCAGTCATTCATTTACAAAAACCTAACCTGAATCACCCTCACCATCTCATGGGAACTTGTCATTCAAGAACGAACCTGAGGTCTACCCTGAGGTCAAAGCTCAGGGTTAGATGAATAGGAAATGGTGAGCAATAAATACAGATGGAAGAGAAATTCAAATCAAAACTACAATGAGAAATCACACACCAGTCAGGATGGCTATTATTAAAAGTTAAAAAGTAGGTGTTGACAAAGCTGCAGAGAAAAGAGAATGCTCACACACTATTGGAGGGAATGTAAGTTAGTTTAACCTCTGTAAGAAGTGGTTTGGAGGTTTCTCAAAGAAATAAAAACAGAGCTACCATTTGACCCAGCAATCCCATTTCTGGGAATACATCTGAAGGAACACAAATCACTATACCAAAAAGCCACCTGCACTTGTGTGTTTACTGCATCACTATTCACAATAGCAAAAACATGGAACCAAACCAGATGCCCATCAAAGGTGGGCTAAATAAAGAAAATGTGGTATGTATACATTTGGAATACTACGCAGTCATAAAGAAAAACAAGATTATGTCCTTTGCTTTGCAGCATCATGAATGCAGTTGGAGACCATCATTCTAAGTGAATTATTGCAGAAACAAAAATTTGAATACTGCATGTTCTTACTCATAAGCAGGCACTAAATATTGGGCATGCACAGACAGGCACAAGGATGGGAACAACATTCACTGGGCACTGCTAAAGAAGGGAAAAAAGGAGACGGGGGGAGGGCTCACCAGAAGTCTATGCCCCTTTGGGAGAGGCGAGAGGATTGCCTGAGCCCATGGGCTCGAGACCAGCCTGGGAAATTTGGCGAGACCCTGTCTCTACAACAAATCAAAAAATTAGTTGGGCATGGTGGTGCACGCCTGTAGTTCCAGCTCCTTGGAAGGCCAAGGCAGAAGGACTGCCAGAGCCCAGCCGGTTGAGGCTGTGGTGACTGGGAGCAGCATGCCACTGCACTTCAGTCTGGGTGACAGTGAGACTCCAACTCAAAAAAAAAAAAAAAAAAAGTCCATGCCTTGCCTTCATGTAATATACTTATGTAACAAATGTACCCCATGACTAATAAATAGATAGATGACAGATAAATAAATGAATGAATAAATAAATACTGATGGATAACACAAAAGTCTGCCTGAGAAAGCTAAACTCTAAAGTAACAAAGGCATCAGTGCAGTTAGGTGGAGATGGAACTGAATTAAGCAAATCTTCCACTAAAAATCTAGGCACAAGTATTTATGAAATTATATATAATTTATACACTAGGTCTTTCATTGTTCCTGCATTTAATATTCACAACTTCTATTATTCAGAAGTGACCCTGAAGGTCCACGATATGTAATTTGTGATATTACTAAACTAGAATTTTGAATCAGGTTTTCTGTCACGCCAGTATGTATGTGTTACCTGGCCAGCAAGTAGAGGCCAACTGCACCAACATTTACATCTCAAAGTAGTTTTAATATTTTAACATGTATGCATTCTATGATCAAAATTATATGCTAAAAGGCATTCCCAAATGTCTCTTAGAAAATGTCTAGGCTCTATTCTCATTCAAAACAATAAAAACCATCCAAATAGACTAGAAAAATAGTATAATTATTTTATTTACACTAAAATCACAGTACTGTATCAGTAAAGCCTAGAAATAAAAAGATATTTAATGGGATTCTACCAGGGATCATTATCATTGAGTCAGAACCTGCTGATATGCTCTTACTCCCACTGACTGGTAAACAAAACATTCCTTTGATATTAGTCAACAGTAACATAACTGTATTAACCTGGACAAGAAAAGAGTGGGATAGAACAGGCAGACACAAGAAACATGCTGTTAGGGTGGGACATTAAAATTAAAAAGCATTATGAAATTAAGGAAATCATAATTTCTAAACAAAAACAGTACCTTACTATATACTTAACGTGGAACTATATACATGATACTTAGCAAAAGAAATGTGCATAATATGTTAATTTGTAAAAATAAAAATAAAAATATATATGTATTGAGTTACTAAACGACCATCTACCACAATATTGATACCTTTAGGTGGTGGGATTGCTGAACATTTTATTTTCTTTATTGCTCTAGAATGTCAAAATTTATACTACCAATCTGAATTTTCAGTTTCTATTACTACTGGCTTGCTTTTAGTAAAGAAAAATGAAAAAAAAAAAAGCTTTAAATTATTTGAAGCCGCTTTTCAGTTTCAGAAGCACAAATATGTGAACATTTTTAGAAAAATTATTTAGTATTCCTTTTTTTGCACAAAAGTTTAGTTTTACTTAAATCCATATCATTTTATAGATTTGCACTGTAGCAACACAAGTTTTGTTTCTTTGGAGGGGGGAGAGGGAGCAGTTATGAACTCAGCAAAATATGACATTTTCTAGCCTCCCCTGCGGCCAGAAATGGTTATACAATGCAGTTCTGGCCAATGAGATAGAGATACTACTGGCTGGTAGGGCATCATAAATCTTCTCTGGGGGGAAAATTCATTCACAGCACCAAATTATCTCCAATATATTTCATATTTCAACACCCAGCATTCCATCAAAACTTACTGAACATGCCAAAAGAACAAGAACCTTGAGGAAAAAAATGACAAAAACAGCAGATCTACAGGAGATGCAGATATCAGAATTAATTGGCACAGGTTTAAAATCACTGCTTATAGCCAGGCTCAGGGGCTCAGCTTGTAATTCTAGCACTTTGGGAGTCCAAGGCGAGTGGATAGCTTGAGCCCACGAGTTTGAGACCAGCCCAGGCAACTTGGCGAGACCTCATCTGTACAATAAATAAAAAATTAGGTGGGCTTGGTAGTGCATGCCTGTAGTTCCGATTACTTGAAAGGTTGAGGCAGAAGGATCACTGGAGCCCAGCAAGGGTGAGCATGCCACTGCACTGCAGCCTGGGCAACAGAGTGAGACTCCAATGCAAAAAATAAAATAAATAAATAAAATAAAACCACTACTTAAAATTTAAAAAAAAATTTTAAATATGTGGGGTACAATTCAGTGTTAGGCATACAAATGTTTATTGTGCGGGTACCCTTGTTGATGAGGTGTGTCCCCCTCCCCTGGCAATTTCCCACTACTGTCAATCCTGCCCCCGCCCTCCCCTGGCAGTTTCCCATTACTGTCAATCCCTTTCTTATAGTATTACAATAGGTGCTCACAATTTTTAAAGATAGAAAACAAAATGAGAAACCCATCAGATACCTGGAAACTATAAAACGAATCAAATGAAAAATTTAGAGCTAAGTAATAATAGATGTGTTTAATAGCAGAGTAGCCACAACTGAAAAGAGGATTGGTGAAATAGGAGACAGGTCAGTCAGCAGAAAATATCCACCATAAAGCACAGAGAGAGAAAGAACATAAGAGACATATGAGACATGGTGAAATGGCCTATTATTTGTGTAACTGGAGTTCCAGAGCAGAGAAGAGAAAGAAAAAGGTGGTGGGGGGGGAGCAGACAGAGAGATAATGGCCTGGAAATTTCCAAAACTGATGGAAGACATCAAGCCACAGATTCATAAACTGCTAGGAATACAGAAATAAACTAAAAATAAAGAAAACCACTCCTAGGTACAGCATAGTAAAACTGCTGAAAACAGAAGATAAAGAAAAAAAACCCTAAAAGCAACTAGAGAAAACAGACATTATTTACAAAAAAGCAACAATATGACTCCGACAAGGACCTATG